AGACACGGAGAGGGATGGAAGGAGTAGTTGGAGCCTTTGGGGAATTCCAGTTCCAAATGGCTGGGCAGAAGTCCCAGAGAGAGATGCAACGTGCAAATTCTATACAGCTGGAGTGTTGAAAGCTGGAGTGACTCAAAAGTATACCAACCTATTCCCTTCTTACCTTTCTCTTAGTAAAAAGTTGAGAGGAAGTGGTGGTAGAGGGAGAAGTAGCTTTGCAATTGTGCAGATGGTTGTTTGCAAATAGCCTTGGGATGGAGTATGAGAGTGTTAGAAACTGGGAAGTTTGGAAGTTGTTATAAATAGCTGTTTTCCCCTCAATTCCGTGTACATAGTAAAAACAAAATGCCTCCACCATCTCTGCCTCTGTAAAGCAATTGTTTTTCTTAACCCTAACCCAAACCCTCAATCATGCTTATTTATGGGGAACCTTAAAGAATCTCCGACCTACACTTTAGGTACAGTTGAATTGTGCATTCTAGGTTGCTTAGGCTGCATTCTAGGTTGTAAGTGTGAAAAACGTTCATAAGTCACTTTTTTCAGTGCCATTGTAACTTTGAACTGTCATTAAATGATCATTCAAACTAAATGTTGTAAGGACTACCTGTACTTCCTTTCATATATGTATTATTTCTTACTGACTATTGTACACTGCTCAGAGTCAGTTCTCATGAGATAAGCAGCTACATAAATTTGACTAATAAATAAATCCTGGCTTTTCAGGACCTTGGAAAGTGTCCTTCACAAATAGGATGTGGTGCAGTTACTCCTATTTTTTCAGACGTTTGTTCCTCTGAATGTAGACAGAGTGATTTCTGTAAAGACAAGTATAGGAACTTAAGCTGCTTTTACTTTTTATAGTAATATTAATATAGCTGTATGAGTACCTTTCATCACTGAGCTTTAAATTCCCTGTTATTACCTTATGTAAAACGCAGCAATATTGCAAATGATTGTAAATAGTGTCAAGCAAGCTTTGAACCACTTAATGCAAATGAACTGTTAGACTCTATATTGCCATCAGCAGGCAAAAGATCCTCCCTTTTATTAAATAAAAAAAGATCAGGACGAATAACCTGAACTGGGATATTATCTTAAGCATTCCTTGGAAAAAGGCAGTCCAAATCAGTTTAATTATCAGGTTCTGTCAATGAACCTGATGGTTATTAGTTTATTCCAGTTCTGGAGAAGAAAACCAAGAGAAGGGGCATCCCAAATCACTAAATAGTTATAATTGAAAAGACTTTATTTTGAAGTGTAAAACAGTTGTGCATAAAGTTAATGAATAACTAGACAGCTTGTTACCCATCAAACCATCGTTTCAGAAATATATCCTTACCTACAGTAAACTGAGAAACAGAATGACCACAGGTGTGCAAAACAGCAGTGAGAATGAGAGTGACTTCTGATGGTCTGCTGACTTCCCCATTAACTTTTCTTGTGGAAATGTGGCATGGAGTGTGAAAAATAACAATCATGTGACTGCAGATGACTAAAACAGTGTGCTACAACTTTGCCAAATTTCAATCCCAGACTTGGATTCCAGATTTTTGATGCATTCTTTAAAATTAGCCCATTTGAGGTATGTTGATTCAAACATTGTTCATGCACTGTTTCACCCAACTGAAAATTAAAAACAGGAATTAGAGATGCATACCCAGTGTCAAAAATATACAACTTTATAATGTTCAGTAGGTATATAATTCCTAAATTTTCTTTATGTGCACTAACAAATAGCTAGGCAAACAGAGGATCTCTAAGGATCAAGGATTCCTGAATTCTCAGTGCATAAAGGCATGAAGCATCTCTGCATGGGGTTGTTTCCATGTTGCACTTACAATGCTCTGTCTGGTCTCCAGGAATAACTCTTTTTCAGTGAATAAGAGCCAATTGTCCCAATGGGCAGCATTGGTATAAGCACCTCATTCTTATTAGCAAAGGCTTTTTGAGTGTTCTAAGTTAGTTTATCGCCATCCAGGAGCTGAGACTCTATGTGTAGTAGTGCAGTTATATGGTTGATGGTTTTGCTATTTTTCTCTGCTGGATAAAAATAGTAAAAATAATAAAAATCTGGTTTTCACCAAACAGATTATCAAAGGAATTTCTCATCCTGCTAGTCATATGATACCCATGCTTGTTTTTTCAATAGAATCAGAGCAATTAAATGAAATTGTTTTGTCACAATTATTTGCAATTGTTTCTTTTTATGATTTTGGGTTTAAAATATAAAACTGAAAACACATCTGCTTGAAATCAAGCAAGCAATGTAATTGCGTATAGAAATTAGGCTATATTCCTTTCCTCTTTTCCGTTTGCATTTAGTTTAACCTATTTACCATTTCCCATAAACTACAGACTGTAGGGTATATTAATTCTTCACCAACATTTCACATTCTAGTAAGAAGTTTTACTTGAGTTTTAATTTGAATAAATGCTGATAGAAGTGTTCTTGAGATTTTATAGTTCTTTACCTGGTGTACTATTGGGCCTTTATTCTCATTAGGCTAAATTTAAATATAGAAGCTGCAAAACAAAGTTATGGGCACTTTCAGCTAATTTAAGGCTTTCTGCCTCTGAAACAGCCATTTAGAAAATCCTCATGGATATAACTCTACATTAAGAATGGCTCAAGTGCAGAAAGTAGAAAAGGGCATGATAGGATGACAGAAGAAACAGGATGGTAAATAGTTATGGTATTTGTGTCTTCTATGCAAAATGAGGTGACTTCTGATGAAATACAAAAAGATAAAGATTTTCTTGGATTGCATTTGACTCCTGGTGATTGCATTGACTCTAAATAGTTGGAAGTAGAGATTGTAAAGTGAATTAATTCATTGGTAATTAGTTGTAAAAAAGTATATGCAAAAGGATTAGTTGTCTTTGTTGCTAAATTTGTGCAGAGACATTATGCAGTAGCTAAGAAAACAATTGCAAGGACTATAAATCCTCATGTTTTAGGATCTTTGCTGAACATCAGCTCAGATAAAAAAACACATTTCCTCTTTAAGTGTCACTGAAATTGTGTTGAACATTGGGCACTATTAGAAGTAAAGTAACAGTTTAGATGGAACAGCCACCTGTTTTTCCAATATAAGCCTGGAAAACAATTAGTACCCCTATTTCTAGTTTGTGTGAGTGAAAGAGAATAATTTATCACCCTCTATGAAAACAGGTTTACAGATTGCAATGGGCCTATCTAGTTGTCACAGCCTATTGATTCCATGGTAAAAAAAAAAAAGCTTATCATAAGAGAAACAACTTTCCCTTTTAACAAAACCAGAGGGATATTAGAATAGGGCTACCATATGTAAGAGGAAGAAATACAGATGACAAAGCAAAGGGTGTGTTGTGCATAAAATTTAGGAAGTTTCAATTGTACCATCATGGCCACCATTTTGATTATTTTAGTTACACCCTGCAGATATTCCTGCCAGAGACCTTTTGGCCAACATGATATTCTTACAGTAATTAGCCTAATGCTATTGAGAAGCTCACATGCAGAATATGAATTCAGTAGAATCATCCTACTTGTTCACCAGCAACTAGTATTAAGACACATAATTTTCAATTATTGGAAGCAATGTATGGTTATTATTGTTTCATGGACATTGGTAGCTTTATCCTTTGGCTTAGAGCTGGAAGGATCTAAAGGTGTTTCCAGTTAACGCTACATGTATGTTGTTACCATACACAAGGACATGGAATTCTATCTAGGCAGTTGGGCAGGATAGGTTCCTCCAGTAGTCTGTTCGATTTACATGATGGCAGGACTAGCACAGTAGCCAGGAAAGACCAAATTTTCTGATTTAATTGTTTGTTTCTTTGTTTGTTCAATTTCTATGGCCACCCATCTCAGTCAATGACTCTGGGAGACTTACAATTCAGAAAATGTATCACAACTAAAAATTTAAAAAACATTTTAAAACAGTAAAGCTAGTAAAAAAAAACATTGAAACATCCAATTCAACATAAAAACATCCAGTTCAACTGATTGTCCACTGGGTACTTTGGCAGCTTGCTATTTTTTTCAGTCTTGTAACTTTTCTATACATGTGCAGAACACTATGTGAATGTTTAATCAATTATCTGGTTTCAGGACAATTAGAATCACTAGGGAACCTGATTTAATAGGGAAACAAATCTGTGATCTTATTTTGGGAGAAAATAAGACAAGCAATTAAATACAAAATTGTATATTTATATTAGCTGCTCTTAAGGTATTGCTAACTATTTTTATATAAAGTCAACTAAAACAAATGTGAACAAGAGAGGATGACAAGGATAAACTGTAATTAAAATACATGCTATTTGTTTTCCTCATTACACATTATAAATGTTAATCAAAAAAATGAATTCTGCTCATTTAACCTTACCCTGTTGCAGTACATTTAAATGTATTCAGAATGTAATGATAAAAATATTGTCTCTGTATGCACTGATGTGCATGGAGGAGGAAGAGATTCACAAAGATTTATCTCATAGATAAATCTGTTATTTGTTGAATATTTATACTGGACCATGTTTTGCATTATTTGTGTCAACATCCTTACTACCATCTTCATGAAAACAATGGTTTGGTTATTTTAGAGTGGCAGACAAAGTAACTCATGTAAACAACTTATTCAGTAATACAATTCTTCCCAGGTGATACTACTTTAGCCCGTATCTGAAATATCCATAATTGAAACCTTTTTCCATGGAATTATTTCTTTTATCTATAAGAATATATTTTGTACATGATTTTTTTCATTCTACCTATGAAGGAATATGCTATCATGTGATTTTCTCACCTGCAATCTAATGGTACAATCTAAGAGGAATTATATTATCTCAATTATCTACTGTTTATGCATTGTATTGCTATGGTCTTATTGCTTACCTACTGTACACTCCGATATTTTTTTTAAACAAAAATTTCCACTCTAGTATATCTGAGGGTTAATTATGTTGTTTGTAAATGAGATCTTTTTTTCCTTGACTTTATTTCTTCCTTCTACCTGGTTTGAATGTGTCAGCATGATGGTGATCCTACTGAACTGTGTCACACTTGGAATGTATCAGCCCTGTGATGATATGGATTGCCTCTCCAACAGATGTAAAATTTTGCAAGTAAGTAGCTCCCTTTCTATAATGGAAATATATGGCCTTCTGGTTGATATCTTGACATTTTTCATAACTATGTTATTGAACTAAAGTCATCAGCAAAATCATATGGAAATAAGGCCCATAACAAGCTGGCACTTTTTTTCCATTTCAAACTTTTATTGGTTTAAGCCAGCACTTTTTAAATAATCTGTCAAAATGTCAAACTTGCTATTCCATCTATTCATACATCTGCTTCTGTGTTTCTCTATATAAGATTAGACTATATTGTTGGGACTTTGAAAAAGTATTCACACCCTTTCAGTTTTTCCAGATGTGACTATCTCTGCCAGTTAGTTATTAGAGCTTCTTGTGGATCCTGCTGATATATAGAATATCGAGACAACAAATAGCACCAAAGTGGGATGGTGCTTGGCTCACTTGTTTCATAAACAAAATCAAAATAAGTTTCTAAAATTCTGCATAAAAAGTGGTTTGATGTTCAATGTTCTAAAAAAGATTATAAAAATATTTCTAAAACTCCATCAACTCACAGTCAGGCACAGTCTCGAAATTGAGAGGATTTGAAATAAGGATAAATCTTCCCAAGAGCAGATGACCTATCAAAATCAACATAATTTTGCTTGATTCCCAGAGTCTTCAATAATAAAGACCATACATATAAAGTAAATAAATACATTCAGACAGTCACACAGAACTATTGAACAACATATACTGTACTGGTCTGCAGGTCTCTGTTACCTTGGCTAAAGTAATTACTTTCCTGACTCCATCATCAGAAAATTACTGGGAGAGTAGCAATGTAGAGGTCATTTCTCACTAAGAAGAATGTTGATGCTCATTTCAAGTTTGTCAAAAGGTACCTGGATGAACCTTCAGATGTCTGAAAGAATATTCTATGGATACAAAAGTCAAAAGTGGAATGTTTCAGTTTCTGTGGAATACATTTTGTCTGGAAAAAATAAACACCGAATTCCACAATAAGAACTTCATACCATGGACAAAGAGAAGATGGAAGTTTACTTGTTGGAGGGATACTCTGCTGCCCGGTTTCTGCCCATCTTTTAAAGTGCATGTGGGTATATACTATAGCAAGATTCTAAGCATGCAAGCTCATGTACAGAAAATGGATGAAAGAAAAAAAAAATTCAGCATTTTGGCATGGCCAGGTCAAAGAACGGCATTTTAGAATGGCATACAAATGATTTGGTAAGACCAAAAAATAGCAGTTCCAATTCAAAGAGCCCTCAAATATTATTGAGTTGAAGTGGTTTGCTATGAATAATAGGGCATCATTCCTATAAATACAATGTGAAAAAGATGAGAGATGTGTTTGCTTATGAAATAAATGCAACAATCACCAAATCTTTACATTAGTTATTCAGTCAGCCTGATATTAGGCTCAAGCCCAAAGGCAACAACAATGAAATCCAAATGAGTCCACTTCTTTATTTGCTTATACCTAATAATAATAATAGTAGTGGTAGTAGTAGTAATAAAGTTGGAAGGGACCTTGGAGGTCATCAAGTCCAGCCCCCTGCTCAGGCAGGTAACCCAACACCATTTTGGACAAATGGCTGTCCAGTTTCTTCTTAAAAACTTCCAGTGTTGGAGCATTCACCGTTTCTGGAGACAGGTTGTTCCACTGGTTAATTGTTCTAACTGTCAGAAAGTTTCTCCTTAGTTCTAGGTTGCTTCTCTCTTTGGTTAGTTTCCACCCATTGCTCCTTGTCCTGCCTTCAGGCGCCTTGGAAAATAGCTTGACTCCCTCTTCTTTGTGGCAGCCGCTGAGATATTGAAACACTGCTATCATGTCCCCCCTCGTCCTTCTCTTCATTAAACTAGACATACCTAATTCCAGCAGCTGTTCCTTATATGCTTTAGCCTCCAGTCCCCTAATCATCTTTGTTGCTCTTCTCTGTACTCTTTCTAGAGTCTCAACATCTTTTTTACATCGTGGTGACCAAAACTGGATGCAGTATTCCAAGTGTGGCCTTACCAAGGCATTGTAAAGTGGTATTAATACTTCATGTGATCTTGATTTTATCCCTCTGTTAATGCAGCCTAGCACTGTGTTGGCTTTTTTGGCAGCTGCAACACACTGCTAGCTCATATTTAAGTGATTATCCACTAGGACTCCGAGATCCCTCTCACATTTACTACTATTGAGCAAGGTACCCCCTATACTATACATGTACATTTGGTTTTTCTTGCCTAAATGTAGAACCTTACTTTTTTCACCATTGAATTTCATTTTGTTAGATAGCGCCCAGTGTTCAAGTCTGTCCCGATCCTCCTGTATCCTAAGCCTGTCTTCTGGAGTGTTGGCTATTCCTGCCAGCTTGGTGTTGTCTGCAAATTTGATGAGTTCCCCATCTATCCCCTCATCCAGATTGTTGATGAAGATGTTGAAGAGCACTGGGCTCAGAACAAAGCCCTGGGGCACCCCACTACATACTTCCCTCCATGTAGATGTGGTTCCATTGAGGACCACACGCAGAGTACGGCTGGTCAGACAGCTACAGATCCATCTGGTGGTGATGCTGTCTAATCCGCATTTTTCTATCTTATCAAGTAGTAGGTTGTGATCTACTTTGTCAAATGCCTTACTGAAGTCCAAGTAAATTATATCCACAGCATTCCTCTGATCCACTAATTTTGTCACTTGGTCAAAGAATGCAATAAGATTTGTCTGGCATGATCTGTTTTTGACAAACCCGCGTTGGGTTTTAGTAATGACTTTGTTTGCCTGTAGGTGTTCGCTGATTCGCTGTTTGATTATCTTTTCCAGAATCTTCCCAGGTATTGAGGTCAAGCTGATAGGTCTGTAATTTCCTGGGTCCTTTTTTTTTTTCCTTTTTTGAAGATGGGAACTACATCAGCTCTTTTCTAGTCCTCTGGTAGTTCCCCAGTGCTCCAGAATCTTTGAAAAATATAGTTCAGTGGTTCTGAGATCACATCTGCCAGTTCCTTGAGAACCTTGGGGTGTAATCCATCTGGTCCTGGTGATTTGAACTCGTCTAGGCTGGACAGGTGTTCACTTACCATTTTTTTGCCTATCTTAACTTGTGTTTCTATTCTGTTTTTTATGGCACTATTTTTGATAGGTTGGTCTCTTTTTTCCTTTTGTGTAAAGACAGATGCGAAAAATGAGTTAAATAGTTCTGCTTTCTCCTTGTTGCTTGTCAACTTCTTGCCATTTTCACCCACTAAAGGACCAATCATTTCCTTCACTTTTTTCTTGTTTTTTACATGTTAAAAGAAGCTTTTTTTGTTATTTTTGACTTTGGTCGCAAGCCTTAGTTCATTTTGAGCCTTAGCTTTCCTTACTTCATCTTTGCAGGCTCGGGCTATTTGCTGATATTCTGACTTAATTATGTGTCCCTATTTCCACTTTCTATACTTGTCCTTTTTATCTTTCAATTTATCAGAAAGTTCTTTGGAGAGAAGCTTGCCAAACTAAAGCTGTAACCTTGTAACCTACTTGAAATATGGTGTGGCTACCCTGAACTTCTTATCTTCTTCCCCATCTAGCTTATGACCCCTTGTTCATTGTAACTTCAAACAATCGCTGAAAAAGTAGACATTATGCAAGAACTACCTGTAGACTGTTTAATACTTTCTAGGTAATACATATTGTTGGACTGAATTACAAATATAAAAATAAAAAACAATCAATAAACAATAGATTTAAAACAAATCTTTGTTTGTTTTAAATCTATTGTTTAAAATTATGTCAGATAGTTAAAAAACAAAGATCTTAGCCTAGTCTATTATTTGTATAAAAATAAAAAACAATCAATAAACAATAGATTTAAAACAAACAAAGATTTGTTTTAAATCTATTGTTTAAAATTATGTCAGATAGTTAAAAAACAAAGATCTTAGCCTAGTCTATTATTTGTTAAGGGACCAGGTCAGTGATGGGATTCATATATGTGAACAACCTGTTGTCTGTGTGGATGCCGCTTCCAGAAGTCCATTCTGGGTCTGGGCAACAAAAAATTATCTACCAGTTGTGCTGAACTGGTGCAAACTAGCTGAATCCCACCACTGGACTAGGTAGATGTTTCTAGAAATAGTGTTCAGTGGAAGGATTAGTGGACATAATAGAACAGGCTCCTTTCTCTGTAAGCTATCTGCAACATTTTTGTGGGTGGCAGTGCCTGCAAAAGGGTTTTCAAACATTATCTTAAACAATTTATTAAGACTATATAGAAAATCCTGTTCATGCATGTCATATGCCTATTCAAAATAACGGTTAAAATTAATTTAAGTCTGCATCTTTTTTCTTATGGACCTTTTAGGTGTTTGATGACTTCATTTTTATCTTCTTTGCTATGGAAATGGTGCTGAAGATGGTGGCCCTGGGGATATTTGGCAAGAAATGCTACCTTGGAGACACCTGGAACCGCCTGGATTTCTTCATTGTTATGGCTGGGTAGGTGTTTTTTTAAACCTGCTCAGAAATACACTAATAGACTAATAGATATGGAACTGGGCACTGTCTCTAAACCTAATTTGAACATAACTATAAGAATGGTTCAATTCTGTTGTGTTAAAGTGAATTGAAAGCATAGCCCCATGCATTGGAGGGTAAACAGGACTGCTAAGAAAACTTAATACAAATGAAAAAGTTCTTCAGCACATAATAGTCTTTCAGCCAGCTTCATATTCATCTTTGGGGAAAGATAATGGCCCTCCTTACATTGCTTAGGAAGCACAAACATTGAAGCCAATGAAAGTTGGCTGTGGGAGGTTGCGTTGCTATGTTTCTCTAATCCCGTATATTATATAAGTCCCTTTTGGTCATAATATGGGTACTTACTAAAATCCCCTGCTTTGTACATGAAATTGAATTAAAATGTTCCTAGAGAGTAGCTATTAGTTTCTATTTCAATACTTTCACAGAAATAATGTCTACAATTTCCCTAATTGATCGGTATCACTAGCAAACTATTTTACCATTATGGTTTTTCCGCCTAATATTCAGCTAAAATACTTTCCTGAAACTTCACCAGTCTTGCACTCTGAAACAACAAAGAACAGGTAATAAGCCCATTCTGTTTGTGCTTGTGAGCTGGTAGGAAGCTAATTTAAGTATCACTAAGGAACAGGTTTATCCAAGAATTTACAAATGCTATTGTTTAGGCTGAATCTTGTGATGTTGCATCTGACCAACTGGATGGTTCTTAGCCTAATGTAAAAGGCTTCCCTCTTCAGCATAAGTTTAAAGAGGTAGGGCAGAACAGAAAGGAAGGTGCCTAGAAGTCCCAAATACAGAACTTACCAGCATTTTGTAAAAAATTTGAAAACATAAGGGGAGATGTAAAATTGTGCAATTCTGGGAAAAACTAATCCTTAAATATATAAAAATCATTTAAGGAATATAATAGAAATAACAGAAGGCAACAATCATATAGTAAGAATTCCAAAGAAAAAATAGTTGTATGTTGCTATCTTAAAGGATATCTTAAGATTCCAAACATGTTCAGATGACATTGCAAAAATGCAGGTTTGAGGAAGATTATCTAAATCTTCTATTAGAATTTGGTTGGGCAGGTCCTTCTTGCTCCTTCACATTTGTTCTTCCTCTCAAGCAGTATATCCTCACAATTTTATAAACTGTTGAGGACAAGTGAAAGGTATCTTTTGGGAATGACTGCTCCTTTTCCCATAGAAGAAAATTGTTCTACCCATGATATAATCTGACTCTAGATGGCAAATCACAGAATTACCTGGTAGTTCAATCCATCTTCCCAATAACTATTTGCTTCAGTAAAAAGCACTGACTAAACCTTTCTCCATAGCATCACTGTACACTATTGAAGCCTGCCAGTGCAGGGTGTCAATGGTATCAGATGATTGAAGTGGCATTGTTGTGTTATGCCAAAAGGTAGTGTATGATGCAATGAAGAATACAGTTACTTGCTATGATTTAAAAACTAAATATCTATTAATGCATCTTAAAATTGTGTTGGTCTTTATCACATCCATTCACATTGCTGATATATTCAAGCCTGGGATCAACTACAAATTCTTTTTTGCATATGCCTTTGTATACCAATTATCCCTTTGTGCATTTGAATTCTTTTCTTAAGTGAAGAACTCTGTATTTGTCTCCATAAACTTCCATTTTTCTCTTGAGCCCACTTTCCTAATCTATCAAAATAATTTTGAATTTTATTTTTCTCTCTCAGTACATATTAATAACCACCCAATGTAATTTTGTATCATCAGCAAATCTGATAAGCAGCTGATACAAGGTATAGAAACAAAAGGGAGTTTTCATGATCAGTTCAGTGTTGTTTCATTTTATAGAGTTTTGGCATTAAGGGCATCTTTTTTTATTAAAAGCAAACACATTGTGATTCTGTCTTTACTTTCCGATGGCCAATCTAAATACACCTCAGGGACAAAGTGACATTTAAGTTCTTTAACAGCAAAGTTGCTGTATTAAAGCTGCAGTAGTCACTTCCTCTGTCCCTCTGCAAGCTGAGTGAAGGGCCCATAGGGATTTGCAAGTTAAATATCTAGTGCACTGTCACAGTTTACACTTGTAGCCAAAATTTTACAGAATGGTGTCATTATACAATGAGCATTTGCCCTGCTTTTTTTTTTTTTAGTAAATAATCATTTATCATTTTTATCTGGAATTTACAACTAGCAATGGGTTTTATCTAGAATTTACAACTAGCAATGGGTTCAAGCTTAAATAAGTAGAAAAGAGCTCTGTAAAATGATATTTTCTATAGCAAAGAATAGCAATACATTTTTTTGTTGTATTCATTCCATTAAGTCGGCACAGAATTATCACTTGGCTTGTTTTAGATCAGTGTAAATCCTTTATTGCCATCTACAAGTTTTTATTGTTGTCATTGTTTAATCCAGCTGGAACGTTTACTGCTGGCCAAATTTAAATGTCATACAATCTAATTAATTATCCTGTGCAAATGAAAAACTTCTTTTCACTTTGAAAAATGTGCCAGACCTAACTGAACCCTGTCATTTGTGATGTCAATGTATATTTCCATCAGATTAAGTATTAGAAAAATCCTCTGTTGAAAGTGTGGGTATAAAGGGATATCATGCCTTTCTTTCACCACAGAACATCCATAACTCCAAAACAGGAATTCCGTTTCCATTGATCATTCAAATCTAGGAGACTCTTATAAAGTTCATATGTATTTGGAAAAAAATATTTTGTAAAGAATCTATAGCTCAAATGCAAGCTGAGAGAAAAGGCAGTTACAAATGGCAAACATATTTGCTGATTTTCTGGGGAATTATTATTACTACTGTAACAATGTAGTATGCTGCCCTTCAAAACATAGTTTATAGCACAACAGATTTACTGAGGAAGTTACTCAAAACACAACTCAAACGTAGTACTCTCAGTGTAACAATCAAAGTAAAATTTATATATTATTTAAAATGTTCAGAATTGAGTTTAGTATCTTTGACAATTGCCAAAGCAAACGTACAGATATGGGCACACCAATACTTGATCCATATTCCAGAACACAACTTGTTTCTTATGCCAGTTGGAATATAAAAGTATATATTCTATTCATTGCAAAATAGTTACATAGCAAAAAAAAAAAAAGACCATAGGGAAAAAAAGAATGTAGAAATGCTTGTTGTTCAATGCACTGTTCTGGTGAATTAGCAATAATCTATTTTGCCACACTATAGATTTCATTCCTTTCTCTCTCCCTCCTCTCTTTGGTTCTTAATCCCAACATTAATTCATTGGGGAGGGAGGGGTTGTCCTAATTTTACTTAGCACTAAAACTTCTGGAATAGATTAAGATTAGTAAAAGTTTTATCAAAAGATGTGATTCATGTAAATTACTTAGAGGCTAAGTTAAACTCACAGGCTGGGTTTAACAAACTGATAGCACTTTGTAAATCCCCCCTCCAGACACCCAACATTTCCTCTATCCAAACTTCTATTGAACTAGGATACAATCCTCCCTTCTCCTATATTGTGTAGAAGGAAGCATTGTATCCAGGTTTGATAGAATTTTGATAGAACGAAGTGTAGCAGAAGAGTGAACTGTCTGCTACTGATTTAGTAGAGTACCTAAAAATTGCTGATAGGTGCCAGGAGGAGACAAAATACAGAATAACAGAGGTAGAAGGGACTTTGGAGATCTTCTAGTGCAACCCCCTCTTTGAGTAGGAGTCCCTAAACTAGTGGTTCTCAACCTTTTTAATGCTGCGACCCCCAACCGGTCGTAAGTCGAGGACTACCCAAACGGTCGTAAGTCAAGGACTACCCAACCGGTCATAAGTTGAGGATTTTCCCTGCCCGGGAGCGCCGCGCATGCGTGGTGCCGCCCCCTGCGCCAGCTGAGGTGTAGCTGGCAAGAGGCAGAGATGGCGCAGGCCGACCACTGGCTGGGCCACCAGCTGGCCTAGCCCAAGGGAGGTAAGGCACCCACCGGGCCCCACGTGTGCCAGCAACCCTCCCTGCACCCGCCGGCCTCCCACCTCCCACCCCTGGCCCTCTTTTACTTGCATTTTTAGTAGTTGTTCAGCAGGGAGGGGTGGAAACTTCCAGACAGCTCGCCTTCGCTACAGACAACTTGTAACACCATTTTGGCGAGCTCAGCAGGGCAGAGACAGCCTGGACAATTCCTATTGGCTTTTGAAAGCCAATAGAATTAGACTCTATTCAAGAGAGTCTATTCTATTGGCTTTCAAAAGTCAATAGAATAAAAGGGAGTAGCACAGCTAAGGAAAAGGGGGAAAAATGGCGGACTGCATTGTTTGGCGACCCCCGTGAAATGGTTGTTCGACCCCAAATGGGGTCGCGACCCACAGGTTGAGAACCGCTGCCCTAAACCATTCTGGACAAATGGGTGTCCTATTTCTTCTTAAAAACCTGCAGTGATCGAGCACCCACAACTTCTGACTGTTCCACTGATTAATTGTTCTCACTGTCAGGAAATTTCTCCTTAATTCCAGGTTGGATCTCTCTTTGATAATCTTCCATCTGTTACTTCTTGTCCTGCCCTCAGGTGTTTTGGAGAATACATCGACCTCCTCTTTTCTATGACAGTCCCTCAAATATTGGAAGACTCTATTTTGCCACCCCAGTCCTTCTCTTTGTTAGACTAGACGTAACTAGTTCCTACTAGTTTAACCTCCAGTCCTCTAATCAACTTTGTTGCTCTTCTCTGCACTCTTTCTAGAATCTCATACATCTTATTTGTATTGTGGTGACCAAAACTGGACACAGTTGTCAAACACAGGAAATCAGAAGCCAAGGCAATTCAAATTAATACAGGTTCATTGCATGCTAACACTTTCTACAAGAAACTGAACTACAGTTAAGGCAAATTGGTGGTAGATTAAGGTCAACAGAATTCAAACTGGACTGGACTTATGGGTATGAAGGAACTCAAAACTGATGATGTGCTTGACCCCTCTTTC